GGGGGGGGGGGGGATTTATTCAAATAAAAGAAAACATGTGCAACATAAATAAAGATCCCCAACAAAGGACTAACAAAACTACTCAACAAAAGTCTGTTCTCTTTAGCTCATTGTTCCATTTATAAATCACAGACAACATTAGGTTTGGCCTATGAGTAACATGTGCAGTGTTTGAAGAACAAAACCAACAAAAAATTCAAGGCAAAACAGTCAAAAGAATCATTCAACAGAGAATGAAAGCTACCAATAACTTTTCAATATTTCAACAGGGCAAATTTTATACTGGTTTCCAAAAGGAGACCCACAAAAGCCATAATTGAAATTCAAACAGCACACATTAGTATTGATATTAGACCTATTGAAACTACGAAAATTCACAAGATTCTCTTTTTGGCATATTATCAAAAAGAGAAAGTGAACCAATCACTAAACAATAATGCCACAAGGGCCCCCTCAAGACTCTCTTTCAAGCATTTCCTTATCACATATCCACGTATGCGAAAACGTAACTCTCAAGTAAGGACTTATTTGTTATAACTTTCTCCAATAGTGGCTCACATTCTTATTTTTATATTTGGTGAACGTATCCCCAACCATGTTATATGAAAGGGTTATTTTTTGCTTTTAGTGAACCTCTATTTTATTTTATATGTATATAAATGCATCAATCTTTATATTTTATTAAGATTACAATACACCTTAATTAAGTCAATAAAATATTTTATTCAGATATATCCTTAATTATTTACTTCATTATAACTTACATTATGTTACTTTTGATTGGAAAGACAAAGTGAAGAACGGATGGATTTTTTTATCTTATTTAATTTAAAAATTTGAAGCTAAAGGAAGGAGCAATAAAAGGACTAAAATATTTTTCCTTTTTATTTTTATTTTTACTCCAATTACTTGATGATTTAGATGAGAGAAAATGTAGTATATAATTCATAGAGCACTAGATTGTACCGTAAATGTTTTATAACAAAATTTAGATGCAGTTGTTTATATTCTTTATGTAATGCTTTTGGATTTTAGTGTTTTATCTTAATATGCATAATAAAATATTACATTAAAAATTAACAAAAGTTATCAAATTCCATTTCTAATTAAAAAAGAAATACTAATACTAAAGAAACTACATACACGTTTTCTCAATATTTACAATAAATATATAAGAGTGCATTTTTTTTCTTCTCTTTCTCTCTCTCTATATATATATATAAACTAACTAAGGAGACATTCTATGACCCTTTTCTTAAACCAAACCAAATAAAAATATTCACAAGCTTCCCTTTCTCCCCCGTTTGAAGTAAATCTTATCTCAAAAAGCTTTTTCAAGCAAACAAGAAAATCCAACATAAAACATACAAAAATGATGACACGATAAAACGATTTGCATCTCAGCATAAACCAACTTATGGACAAACACGATAGAGCAATAGATTAAAAGAAGAAAATCCGATGTCATTACATTCATGGCATAGAACCAAACACTATTTTTAAAAAAAAAAACTCACAATATACACGAACATATAATAGACATAAGCAGAGAAGTGGAACGGGAGGAGGAAGAGCAATATTTTACTGGGCCAAGCACGATGGTTAAAACAGACGAAAAAGGCTTTTCTTGGGCTTTGTATTTGTTACTTGGGCCGAATAAAAAAAATATCCACTATTATCCATCTATATATTATTTAAAAAATAGATATAATTGTACGTTAGGTCTTTTTAATTTGGACTATGTGTAATATAGTCTTCATTTTTTAAAACCAATTACGTTCTTTTATTTGTAAAATTAAGCAAACTTAATCCCTCTTTTAATTTTTTCTATCTAAAACTTTCAAATTGTCATTTTCGATCCAGATATTTTCGGACTTTTGATGTCTTTGAGACTTAAATAAATTTGATAAAATTTGAAAGATTTTGTAGATGTAAGATTAAGGTATGAAAAATATTTTTCTAATTTTGGATAAAATTTAATGTTATGATGGTTATGTTTTGCATAAAAATTGAAATTATTCAATCAATTTATTTTATAGATTTGTAAGTAAAAATATATATTTTTTTACTTATTATTTTATCAAATAAACACTATAAATTTAATATTATTTTCCATCATTTTTTTTCAAACAAATAAACAAGAGGTCAAGGATAAAATTTATAATTTCTTACCACCCAAAAAGTACCCGAAGGTTCTCAGAAGTAGTAGCGTGGCAGCTCATAACTACTTTGATACGTGGCTAGAATAAGACTAGTGTAATTAAAGAATGGATAATAAAATAAAAATTATAATCAATTTCAATATTGAAACGAAGGATAAAATTGATAATTTTACGCTACATTTTCCTTTAAATTCATAAAATCGAATAGCTAATGACATCTTTTTTATTTGGTTAAATATCTCTTTTGTCTCTTACACTATTTTTTTTTTTAATTTAGTCCCACTTTAATTTTAGGTCTCAATTAGTCCCTAATAATTTAAATCATTGCAATTTTGGACTTCCGGCTAAATAATTTAAATGGAGTTAACTGGTGGACACGTGGATGCCAAGTGGATGCCACGTAGGTAGATCCCAAAATACTTGAATACACCTGAAACCAGAACGGCCCGTTCTGAAACCCTAAACCAGAACGGGCCGTTCTAGTTTCAGAACGGGTCGTTCTGGTCCAGAATTTCATGCACAAAAAAACTAAAGTACAAAGCATTCCAAAGACTAGATTTGGTAATATTGTTAATGGGGATTGATAATTTCAATTCCTAAACATTTGGACTATACAGTGTATCATTAAGAACGATGCAGTGTATCACTAAGGATAATGGTAACAAGTTTTATTTAATTGTTAGTCAAACTGAAGTGAACCACTTACTACCAAATTGACACTATACAGTCAAGGATGAAACGAAACAGTATTTTTCCTTGAAGTCATTGACGATGTACCTTAACAATAACAACCTATTCTTGAGGAGGTACAACCTGAATTTTTGTGGTTTAGGGTTTCCCTTCAGCGTTACCTAGATGATTTCCTTTCTCAATAATTTCTTTGAACTTTTTTAGTATATGTTATGTTCTGAATTTTTGTTTTCAGTTTTTGAACCATGTTTTTATCTTTGAATTTATGATATATTATGAATTTTTATTTTCAATTTTTGAATTACATTGCAGCATTTTAGTCAAGATTTTGAACTGGATAAGTTCAAATCAAAGAAAGATTTTGGAAGGTCTTATCTTATTTGTTTCTTTTTTTTTTTTAGTTTTATTCATAAATAAATATTAATTTACTATATTTTTTTATTTATTATATTTTTATTAATATAGATATAATAAAAAAAATACAATAAAAAGTATGAAGTTGGTGTTCTGGAACGGGTTGTTCTGAATTTAGAACGGATAGTTCTAACAGCAGAACGACCTGTTCTGTTGCACTCATGTTGTGTTAAATTTGCATTTAAAATGATTTGTTTCAGTTGCAAAATTAAAACATAACATGTGCATTCAGAACGGGTCATTCTGGTTCCAGGTGTATTCGTGTCATTTGACGTCTACCTATATATCTACGTAAGATCCATCTGACATCCACGTCAGTAGGAATTAACTCTATTTAAATCATTTGGACGGGTCCTAAATTACAATAATTTAAATTATTGACGATCAAATTAAGACCTAAAATTAAAGTAAGACTAAATTAAAATAAAAAAATATTGTAAGAGACTAAAAGAGATATTTAATCTTTTTATTTTAAACACATTTATTAGTTTAAAAATATCCAGGTCGACCCAAAAGTCCCCGAAGGTTCTTCTCATATATACAAGCGTGGCATTAAAGAATAACTTTAACACGTGGCTCAAATATGTGGGCCATACCTTACCCGTTACGAAAAATCTAGAGAAGATTGAAGTTAGCATTAGACGACGCGCGAAACATCTCGAACACAAAGATTTTTTTGAGTCTAACGTTTCTATTCCGAGGCATAAGAGTCCTATATAAAAGCACCACGTTCTCTTCCACATTCCCATCAATTAAGGTTGTCATCACAACAACGGTTTTGATCACCTGCTTCGCAACACACGCACACAGAACGCCTTCAGGGTTGGTGGCTCGACTTTGTACCGATAACTCTCATTTGGATTGTGAGGAACCGTTTGGCTGGAATTTTTATCTCTTTTAAATGTAAGTCATTCTTCTCCTTTTTCTATTTAGTCGTTGATTCATTGTTCTAGTGACTCACTACATGAGATCATGGATGTTATAGAATAGGAGAGTGAAGCTCTTTGTTCGTCACGTGGTATTTGGATTATTACTATTAGTATTTGCCAAATGTTAGCATTATAAAAGTGAAAAATATTATTAACGTACTGTATAATGATTTTTAACGTACCTTAATGTAGTTTTACCAAACGTTTTTTATTTGTTAGTTTTTAATCGATACTCTTAATATTTTCACGTGGGTGTAGTGTAGGAGTTGGTTGATAGTTTTGAGTTTAATGATCAAATAGGATGTAGTTTTGAGTTGATGACATTTCTCTAGGGATGCCCCTGTTGTAGTTGCGTCATTGTGCTGTATGAAAGAGATTTACATTAATCCATTTATACTATAATGATATGAGAGCAAGTCTTTTAATGGACATGGTGCATGTAAATTTTTGTCTTCTTGATCAAATGAACTTTTTTTTTTCCCCCTTTATCACGTCTATATTCATCTGGGAATATATTTGATTTGGTGTTGTATACGAGTTTTGAAAGGGTTTAATTAAGGTATGTTTAATAATAAGGATTTTCGTCCTAATATCTGTGTGCTACAACAGCCATAATGCCATATTAGTTGTATAATGATCTTAAAATGCTTTTTCTTGGCATTGTTTGAATTAGAGGAAAAAATTTGTGCTCTTGGTGTTATGCTATATACAACTTCTATTCGGAAGAAGTGATTCTTATTTTTATTATGTTCTATGATGTATTTCTCTTTTCCATTCTGCTAGCTTAAAAGAAAGTGAGAAAATTGTTCTTTCATTCATTTTTGGTCCTTTTAATGAACTTGATTCATGTGATTTTTCTGTTCCTTTGCTGAAAATCATTCTCCTAATTTTTCACCCTTAGTACTACTAGTGTTAAAATTTGATACTAATCCTGTTCTTCACGGTCCGTTTGTGAAATGCAGACTTTGCACTCTAGAGTTACCAAGGTCAGGTACTCTCCTCATAAAAATCTTTCTTCTAACAATACCGATCATGATGCCTGCATACAGAAGCATGGACTCGTACCCATATCAGAGACCGTTCCCTCCTTATTATCATCCTGGCATTGAGGCAATGCCCCCTCAAATGAAAGTTGATCCATCAAAACCACCCTTTTCTTATGACCAACATTGGCCATATGTTGCCAATTTCGGGCACCCTATTCCCCCACATTTCTGCTGTGGCCACAACAACTTCCCTTGTTATTATAGCCACATTCCTTCATATCCTCATGCTCCTTCTCCAATGTGCTATTCTGGAGGCTGTCCTTCATATAGTGAACCGTATTTTGTTCCTTATTCCCCACAACCACATTATACCATGGAGCTGCCTAGATATGAATATGATAAGCACATGCCCCGAGAGCATCATTGTTGTGGTTGTTCTAATCATCCATGCAACCAAAAGGAAGGTAGAAGTGTGAAGATTGAGGAGCATGAACCTGATGATGGAAAGAAAGTGAATGATGCTTTGGTTCCAGTTCAGCTTAAGAATTATCCATATCAATTGGTTTGGGTCCCACAGGATTACTCAAGTAACAAACAGCTGAAAAATCCTAATGTAATGGAGGTGGCTGAACAAGACAAGGTATCACATGATAGAAAGCCTTCTGGTCTTGAGAATTTTAAAGCTGATGCACAGCCATCTGAGGAACCTAGAGTGTGGAATGGATGGTTACCCTTTGATATAAAGGGTGCCCCAGACATGTTTCATGATGGATATGGAACAAGAAACCAGAAACCGGAGTCTGAGAATAATAGAAGGGAATTTGAAGATGGAAAAATGGACCAGAAACACCAGAGTGAACACAAGAGATCCGAATTTCCATTCCCTATCTTCTGGGTGCCTTACTACAATAAGCAGGAGGAAAGTGGAAAGGCTAACAATCAGGAGAACACTTCTTCACCAAAAATCATTGAGGAGGTGCCTCATACATTCAAATCTGTTCCAGTGAAGTCTCATGTTGATGAAGGTGCTTTAAAAGGAACCGGTTCAAATCAAGTTGGGCACAAAAACACAGATGCTTCGGATGCTGTAGAGAAAGTGACTAATGCCAGAAGCATACCTGTGAAGCAGATAGAATCGCATCAAGGAAAAAATGAATCGGAGGGAGATCACCAACGAGAAGTGAATGTGACAAAAAAGGATTCTGGCACTGGTGACAAAAAGAGACAATCTACATCTTCACCAAAAGCATCCAAATTAGCTCCTGTTTGCCTGAGAGTTGATCCACTACCAAGGAAGAAAAATGGAAATGGTAGTTCGAGGTCGCCGAGTCCACCTTCCTCAAAAGAACATTCCCGAGCTACAAATGGTGAAGCATTCAAGACTCCTGTGTGTGGCACAAATGACAAGGCTTCGTCAGGTTCAAATCATAACAATGCTACAAGCATTAGTGAGAAAGTAAAACCAAGGGAGATGAAAACAATTCAGGTGTCTGAATATAAGACTAATGAAAACAAAGGTGTTGACGATGGATGTAAGAGCCAGACAAATGTAAACATACCCAACGAAGGTCCAAAAGGGAAAAGGGAAACTTGTACGGATGGTGATGAATATAAGACTGAAGACCAAGGGGCAGAAAAAATGAAGGGGGAAACTATAGAACTAAAGGAAGAGAACGATTCAAGCATACCAACTGATGCAGGTCGAAAAGAGGGAAGAGTTTTGTCAGATGCAGATGCTGCTGTTTTGATTCAAGCTGCATATCGCGGTTATCAAGTTAGAAAATGGGAACCATTGAAGAAATTGAAGCAGATAGATGAAGTCAGAAGGGAGGTGGCTGATGTTTACGGCCGTGTTCAAGCTTTTGAAAGATCTTCTGATCTTCAAAATGATGAAAAGCAAAAGATCGCAATTGGAGAGACCATAATGAGACTGCTGCTGAAGCTGGATACTTTGCAGGTACATGTTAGATAATCCTATTTACTTGAGATGAAATCATTAATGCATTTTTTATATTCTTTGATTTATTGACAGTAAAAATTATATGGAATAGCAAGTTATTTTGCAATCACATTTTGCAGTTAAAATTTCTCCCTTTGTATTTATTAGTTAATCTTAATTAATTGAGATATAAAGACATCAGTAAGATAGTTTAGATATTAGCTAATCTTAGTTAAGATATCGTGATATCAATGATGAGTTTTGATATTTCTGCATTCATGGATATGGATAATGAATTTTACATGCCTAATTACCTGCAAGTCTGTTGCAAGCACTCTGCCCTAAACAAAGATGAGCATTTTGGTATGAAAAGATGAGTTTGGTTGTGGTTTACCTGAGTTATTAATCATGTTCATTTTATTTATGTATGATGTTTAATATTGTTCTACTTCCTTGTTCAATGTTTTGCTTACATATCATTCAAATTATATATCAGGGTTTGCATCCAAGTTTCAGGGAGATCAGAAAATCCTTGGCTAGAGAGCTCACAAGCTTGCAAGAAAGGCTTGATTCTATAACGGCCAAGAAACCACAGCAGGAGATGCAGGATTTCGATGTTCAGAAACACGTTGAAGTTACTCCAAATGATACACAGAATGAAGAACATGTGCAAAGGGAGCAAGAAGAAAAAGTTGCTACACCAGGAGATTCATCTGAAGACATTACTGACGATGTTAAAGGTCCTTGTGCTAGTGATGGTAAAAGTGAATCTCAGTCACCAGTTGATCCAGCATCAAACGAGAGAGCAGAGCATATCGTACTTCCAAATGGATCATATAGGGAGGATACAAGCCAAGTGGTTACAGCTGATGCATTGAATCCTACAAGTGATGTCTCTGATACTAACAAAATGGCTGCAGAACCTGAAGCCAAATCAGAAGCAAATGACATTCCCACTGAGGCTGACGAATTAGATACGACTGATTCGGAAGAATTCCCCGTGGAAGTTGTTGGTGAAGATTGCAAGGATGTTAGTATCAAGAAAGAAGAACATGACGATGTTAACACTGTGAATCTCGCAGCTGTGGTGGATGATTCTGCACACGATCCATTAGATTCAGAGAACCATGCAATAATGGAACTTCCAGTAGGATTGCTTGATAAGGATGAAGGGGACAATGAAATGAATATTTCAAAAGAGAAAGCACAAACCGAAAATGAGATAATTTTTGAAGAGCTACCTGTGCGACTACTTGATGAGGATACAACAATATCTGGAGTTAAGAAGCATGATCAAACTAAGCCTAAAACATATAAAGAGGTTCTACTAGCTCAAGAAGGGGAATTCAATGTAGATGAGAAACCAAGTTCTTCCACAGATGACACTGCTAAGCAAACTCAACTAGAGCAACAACAACATCTGGAAGAGCAAGAAGAGGTGCAATCTTCTGGGGAATCAGATGGCTGGGTGAAGATTGAGTTCCAAAATGAAGGTGAACTCAAAGGGGATGATGATTCACCAATGGATATGGTGGTTGAGTGTAAGTCGGGTGAGGAAGTTGGAAATGATACTAAGTTACCTCCTTTGACAGCACAAGACAAGGGTGATGAACCAGGGAATGAAGATGCAAGCATGGAAGCAAATGATGTAAATAGCATCTCTCCAGAGGCAATGAAGTTCGTGCCTATCAGTGACATGCAGAAGGAAGAGGAGCCAGAAGAAAAGATTGCACAGAGGGAGACACAAGAGATGGTTGTTGAACAGGCAATTAATGACGATGATAAAGACACACAAACTTTGGCTCAAGAGAAAACTGAACTATCTGATGGAGGGTTAAGTGGTGATTCAAAGTTATTGGAAGAGAATGAGAAGTTGAGAAAGATGATGAAGAAGTTGCTTGAAGCTGGGAATGAACAGTTAAACGTAATATCAGATTTGACAGGCAGAGTGAAGGACTTGGAGAAGAAATTAGCAAGAAGTAGGAGTAAGAGAGTGAAGACAAAGCGGTATAGACCAGCAACTTCCAAAATGTCTTGCATGAAATCCTCCAAATAATCCAGTGCATGCGAGAGCCTTTGGTGTTGCAATATAATATGTATATGTTGTAATTGCGAGGTGCGGTATGAGTCTTGTTATACTCTATAATAATCACTCCAACATATGTACTTTTGTGCTTTGAAGTTGTTCAATTGTTTTTCTCTTCAGCGTGCGTTCGTATATTATTTGATTTCAGTCTAAGTTCTGGTTAAACTTTTAATGGTTGGATTCTAGAATAATACTTCATTAATCCAGCATACTTTCACTCCATCCTCTTAATCTCACATTTCCTTATTAAAAGCTCCATTCTTCAACTGAAATTGTTCCACAGGATTTTCTAGTGTATATTGCTTTACCTCTCCGTGTGATGCCGTAGAAATTCGGAGAAAGGAAGTGCCAACATAAACATTGAATAATGTGCTTCAATTTTGCAAACTGTTACTAATGAGTGTCTCAATTTATTGTTAACTATATGATTAAATTAAAAGTCACGGATGCCTGTTAAAAATAGATAAATATATCCAAATTCTAGCCTCTGGAAAACCGCAAAGAAGACAAGATTAAAGTGAAATTATGAAAATAAGATTTTTTTATTAAATGTTTGTGTTAAAATATCTTACTCTTACATTATTAAATAGAATGATGTGATAAAATTCTATTAAATGTATGTGTTAAAATATTTTAGTCTAATATCTCCTTTAAAGTAAACTCAATTTTCACGTTAGATATCAAATTCTCAAATCCAACAATAGTATGCAAGTTTTTCATAATATTGAATAACTTTATTAAAAAATATTATTGAATTATAAAAATAATATTTATTAGTTATTATTCAATTTAGAAATTTAACAAACCACTCGAGTAACGTGATTTAATTACGAAAAACTTCTTAAGAGGTGATTAATATATGAAATTAAGAAGTGATATATATAATCGTTTGATTACTAGTATTAATTAAATATATTGTTTGATTAATTGTTCACTGTTCGCAGGGTCTGTGGTGAGTCTTAATTGTAGGATCAACCGCACGACTCATGATCAAGAGGGGTTTATTTTTTAAAGAAAAGTATATAATTATGCTAAAAATTTTATATTATTTTTAAAAATAAATTAAAATTATCATTATATATATATTATATTTAAAATATAAGGTGATACAATTATAATGTCCAATTATTTTTTATATATGTATTACATTTATAAAATGGTAAATTATATTTTTGCTTCTTCTAAATTTTTTTAAATTTAGTTCTAATTTTTCAATTTATTTTTGTTCTTTTAATTAGAGATGCATTATTTTTGGTCCTTAGAATTCTTTATATAATACTTTATAATAAATGATACTATAAAAGTATATTAAATAAAAATATAATATATCCATTTTAGATTTATTAATATTATTATTTTTTTAATGTAATAAAATATTGTTTAGTCTGTAAAATTTATGGAAATTTCTTATTAGGTCTCTAAATTAAAAAAAAATTGTAATCGAATCATTTATTTTTTTATTATTTTTTGTAATTTTGTTCTTAAGGCTAAAAATCTATTATATGACACTTTATTATATCTTTATATATGTAGATTCATCTCATATTATTATTTTATGTATAATTATACATATTTAATGAATTTTAATTTATTTATAATTTTTTTATTATTATTTAGAATAATAAGAAATTTTTATTTTTGAAGTTTAAAACCTTATACAAATGAATGATGACATCTAATGATAATCTAATATAGTTATCAGAGTACAAAGAAATATAAAAAAAATCAAATTAAATATCACATTATAAACTAATATATAATTGTAGGAACTAAATTATAAAAAAAATAATGAGTGATTAATTTTTTAAAATTAAGACTTAATTAAAAATTCTCAAAAATTCATCAATCAAATGATATATTAAATCTTAATTAAATTGTGTATCTATTTTTATATTATAATTGTTTACATTTTAATTAATTTATATATAAGAATCTATATTTATTTATTATTTCGCTTAAAATCCATAAAATGCGAGGGCTTAACTGTTCACATTTAAAAACTGACGGACAATGCTAGTCTTGCTGACCTTTAAACACTGAAGCCATGGAAGGGAAGTGTTAATTGTAGCGTATGAACGGATGGAAGAAAAAGATAGAAAGAAAAATAAAGAGAAAAATTAATGATGAGATAAAAATAGAATACTAAAAGATAAATGATTTGTACGAGAAATTAAAAATTTAAGTTTTAAGTCAATGCATTGTGGTTGGTTCATTAAATTTGGCACCATCCAAGACGGCAAGAGCATCAGATCCTTGTTGATCAAAAAGAAAAAAAATGGGCCTCAGATACAACATAAAGACTAAAAAGCAAACAAAACTTTCAACTCCATAAATATTTGTTCACACTACAATTGCCACCCTGTTTCCAATATCCCAAACGTAAAGACTGGGAAGCATTCTTAACGAGACTTTTCTCCTCCCAATAAGGCTATAAATAGACTCACCAACACAACCAAGCAAATATCAAAAGCCTAAGCCTATTAATTATTATGGCACACAAAGCACTAACCCCATTGGCACTACTCAGTTTCCTTCTTATTAGCGTCTTGTTACGCACCTCATATGCAGGCAATATTGCTGTTTACTGGGGTCAGAACACAAACGAGGGTAGCTTAGCTGATGCTTGTAACTCAGGCAATTATAAGTATGTGATCATAGGTTTCCTAGCCACATTTGGCAACAACCAAACCCCACTTCTCAACTTAGCTGGCCATTGTGACCCCACAAGCAACCAATGCACTTCTTTGAGTGCTGACATTAACACCTGCCAGAGTCAAGGAATTAAGGTCATGCTCTCATTAGGCGGTGGAGCTGGTGGCTATTACCTTGCTTCACCTGATGATGCCAGGTAACCATATTTCATTTGAATCACTAGAGTCCATGCATCAAATATACGATTTCTCTTAATTATAGAGTCAGATCGATTAGTTGTGACCATGAATGCATGGTGATCTTAATAACTCCTATTTAAACAAAAAATTATTATATAATACAGATCATATATATCACCTAATAATTTCTCTTATTTGACACATGTCTTTTTATCTTTGTGACATGTCACATTACTATTTCTCTCTTTAATTTTATTTTTATTGGCCAATTGGGTGTCTTCAAAAACATTACCTAGTGTGAAATGTGATGCAGGAATGTGGCACAATATTTATGGGACAACTTTCTTGGGGGCCAATCAAGCAGTCGTCCATTGGGGGATGCAGTTTTGGATGGCATAGATTTTGACATTGAGGGAGGCACTACTCAACACTGGGATGAGTTAGTGAAAGCACTATCAGGGTTCAGCCAACAAAGAAAAGTGTACCTAAGTGCAGCTCCACAATGTCCCTTCCCAGACGCGTGGCTAAAATCTGCTATAGAAACTGGCCTCCTTGATTTCGTTTGGGTGCAGTTCTACAACAATTCTCCATGTGAGTACTCTGGAAGTGCCGACAACCTCAAGAATTATTGGACACAATGGACATCGATTCAGGCTGGCCAAGTGTTCTTGGGGCTCCCAGCATCACAGGATGCATCTAAGAGTGGCTATGTTCCACCAGATGTTCTTGTTTCTGATGTGCTTCCAGCTATTAAGGCATCATCAAAATATGGGGGTGTTATGCTTTGGTCTAGGTTCTATGACAAAAGCTATAGCACAACTATTAAGCCCAGTGTCTGAGTTTTTCAGCTGCTAAATCCAAGAGTTCTGTGAGCTTAGATCAAATAGATATTATAATACAGTAAAATTTTTATTCCAGATTTAGAATATGTAAAATCACTCATTGGTTGTGCTGTTTTGTGATGTACTATGATAGAATAAGATCTTAAATTTAGGTCCGTATTATATGAATGAGAATTTATATTTATCATTTCTCAACATTATTATGTTGTTGTCTGTTGCGTCAATTATAGTAATAATCTGCTAATTGCGTTGTTATGATGCTTCTTTGTGTATTAAATAACTTTCTCTTTCTTTATGATAAAAAAATCTCTTTTTCGCATTCGTTGACTCGTAGAAATCAGTTAATCACGTGTACACGTTGATCCCAATTCTTTTGCAGTATAATATAGACAAAAGTTGGATGAAGGTATATATATTATTATTATTATTATTAAATTTTGGTTCAAATAAATAATAACATTTCTTTCTGAATTTACTGAATTTTGAAAGTTTAATACATTATTTGGTTTTTATATTTTTTAAGAAATTTTAAATATATTTTTAAACTAAAAAAATTATAATTAAATCCTTTATCATTTGATCCCTCTGAAATATAAAAAAGGTGAATGACCTGATTATAATTTTTTTAGCTTAAGAATTTAATTAAAAAATTCTCAAAAAAATTCAAATTCAAATTATATATTATATTTTCTTTATTTAAATATTTTTTTAACTTTTTTTTAAAAGCTCCGTGAATATTTAACACCCCATTATTTTATGTGCATACACCCTATTAATTAATTAATTACCTGAACAACAGCACGTAGGCATGGAACCAAGCACAATTTTTTTAATATATCACAAATATAGTTTACTATTCGAGTATAGAACAAGCACTAATCAAGTTCCCAACTTTACACGGCCGATCGTAGCATTTTATGGAATTTAGACAAAATAATAAATTAACACCCCTCAAATATAAGTATAAAATGAAATAGACATATAATTTTATTAAGATAATTATAAATTTTATTATATTAAATGTATAATATAGTTTTAGAGAGGATATTGAAGATTTTATATTGCTTAAAAATAAGAACATAATAATATATAAATGAGAAGTAATTATTATCTTATAAGTCAGTATAAAAATGAATTAAATTCTTAACTACTTTCTAAGGAAGTATTAGAACATGTAAAAAGCTTATTTTAACAAGTGTTACTAGATTTATTAAATTACTCGCTATCGAATCACCTGTAAGTATCTAATTTTGCAAGTTTCATACTCGAGATGTGTAATTGTTAACATGAAAGGATATGTTGGAGATTTCACATAGTCTAAGAATAAAGTAATAATGTATAAAAATGAGGAGCAATGTATATAACTGGAAAATAATCATCACCTTATAAATCAATTTTGTAAAGGTGAGTTAGATTCTTAATTTACTTTCTAAGAGATGATAAATATGGTTTAATATGAAGTTAAAAGACAATTTTAATAATAAAAATTGAAAAATAGTTTATTTCATAAATAAAAAAATAAATTGAATGAGAATTAAAACATAAACGTAAAATCGTTTATTTAAAAAATGTATAACAATATATAAAATGAATTCAAGGTTTTAAGATACATACAAATATGAAATAGGAAGTATTTTTTATTCTTTTTCCTAAAATATGAGACTAAAAGGATTGGGTCCCTCCCAATTAGAGGTTTTAGACAACTGTACTCCTAATCTATCTTCAAAACTTGGCTTTGCAACGTTGGATATGTAGTTCTCTCTCTCTCTTTTTTTTTTTTTTTGACAATATATGTAGCTGTTTTAATTAAACAGCCAGATTCATGACTTATAAATTGCATATTAGTCCCTGCATAAATAAGGAGAGATGGCTGTTGTAACTTGTAACATCCCTTATTTTCTTTGCACTCAAGGGTTTAAATAAATCACCAAACTTAATTTTTAAGATTTTTACAGTGAGTATAATTCAATGACCGTAAATTTATAGGTTATAAAACTCTCGGAATTCATACCATTTAAGCTTATTTTACTTCCATTCCTAACAATGCCTTGCGGGTAGGGTCACGTATAGGTGAAGATGAGTTCATATTACAAGTGTGTGAAGATATTCCAGTGTTTTTCTCAGAAATGAATGACTATTTTCCTTTTGGTTAACCAATGACTCATCATCACTCATCCGAACCAATAATCAAAAAGAAACTTCTGAACATTTGGTGAAAGTGAAACTCAAATTTCAACATGCAAATTGCCAAGAAACTGTTTAAAAGTTGAAAACACCTAAACGCATTGTTGACGTAATTGCCCGAAGCCGACTGCATAAACTTCAGAAAATTGTTGAGGGCAATGAATCATTTTTGTCATGCAAATTACAATTTTAGATATATGATAAAAAAACACATTTGATAGAACTAGTATATGTTAACTCATGCAATGGGCCATTAATATTGAATGTAGTATATAATTGTTATTTGCAAAAAAAATAAATAATAATAAAAAAGATTCCAGCCAAAATTTGAAACAATTAATGAATTATTTCATCAACCATAACCGTATTACTCACGACCAAAACTTGAGCCATCATTAATCAAAAGAAAAAATTTGAGCCATCAATTTTTGGTCCTGTAAAATTCCGGTACTTCCAAGTCTTGAACTTATGGAACACATTATCCGTTGAATAAATTGTCCCCACAATGAGAATAAGAGTATCTAATCCTACACTTGTTCACACAAATACTTTGAACCCTTTTTGCCTCGAACCATCAAGCCTCATTGGCTCATTTATTTTCTCATAAAGGTCCAGGCATTCCCACATGGTAAATTTTCTTCCACAAGACGTAAAGACTAGGAAAATTTTCCCCGATGCACTAATATAAATAGATGAACTCATGCTAGATTGAAGGCAAGCAACAAATTAACCATTTGATTTGCATATGGCATCTCAAGTACTAACCCCATTAGCCCTTGTTTTCCTTATGTTCACAACCCTGTTCGATGCCTCTATTGCGGGTGTCATTTCTATCTACTGGGGGCAGAATGGGGCAGAGGGTACTTTGGCTGATACATGTAATAGTGGCAATTATGCCATTGTGAACATAGCTTTCCTATCCACATTTGGCAATGGAAACACTCCAAAGCTCAATCTTGCTGGCCATTGTGATGCAACCAATAATGGCTGCAGTTTCCTTAGCAATCAGATTAAGGCATGCCAGAATCAAGGCGTCAAGGTGATGCTTTCCATAGGAGGAAATGATGGGAACCATGACCTTTCTTCAGCTGTTGAAGCCAGGCAAATATTTTTTCCTCAACTTTATCATCCCATATAATCATTAACAGCTTATTTTTCCTATGAATTGGGTTTTTGAAATTGTTTGCTTTGCTGATAAAGATAAAACTGAAAATGTTTGTTTCATCGATTTTTGGTGAGAAAAATAATTTAATTTACTTTTCCTATAACTTTGTTATTCGTGTAAAGTATCTGCTTTTTTGTTCCTGATTAATCTCCACTGTGGGACCTAACTGATGACCTTTATAACTATGTTAGTCGTGCTTGATAAATTGCAGGACATTTGCAGAATACTTATGGAACAACTTTCTAGGGGGGCAATCAAACACACGCCCACTAGGCAATGCAATTTTGGATGGGATTGACTTTGCCATAGTGTCAGGCTCAACCCAACACTGGGACGAACTTGCTATGGCAATATCAGAGCATGGCAAACAGAAGAAGATATATCTAAGTGCAGCTCCTCAGTGTCCCATCCCAGATAAATGGCTAAGTAGTGCTATAGAAACTGGTCTATTTGACTACATTTGGGTCCAATTCTATAACAACCCTCCATGCCAATACAATGGGAATGCAGAAAATTTAAAAAACTATTGGAACAAGTGGATTGGAACCAAGGTTGGACAAGTTTTCTTGGGGTTGCCAGCTGCACAAGGTGCTGCAGGGAGTGGGTATGTTTCACCTGATGTGCTTAACTCTCAAGTGCTACCATTTATTAAAGGTTCTGCCAAGTATGGGGGTGTTATGCTTTGGTCTAAGTTCTATGATAATGGGTATAGTACAGCTATTAAGGCCAACGTGTGAGGGATAAGGCTTCATTCCATTCGGTCAGGTCTGATTGATTTCCTTGTTGATGCTTTCTGGACCAGTAATTATCAGACCCCGTGGAAAGATTAGACAATAACTAGATAATAATGTATTTGAATATGAATGGATAGTAATAGACTAATACTATACTTAATCTTTTTACTCCTGCTAATAAAGTGCGGTGTCATCATGTGTAACAAATATTGAATCAAGTATGCTTAATGCTTTTAGTTATTCTAATTATATATATAGACCTATATCATTAAACCGGAAATTAGGGTAATATGAATCAAATGGAAAATTAAATTAAAGAATAGAAAACTAATTGCCAATTGAAAAATGGATTTTTATTCCAGAAAATAAACCTATCAAGTGGTTAGGATTAGAGTTTTACTTCACCAACTTATCTTTGGGAGTAGATATTCACTTTAAATTATTCACTACTTTAATTACTAACTTTAAGTCCTGTTGGCTTTAGATATAGGATAAAGTAAAGAAGCAGAATAAGGAAGGAGTAAGGAAATAACTGAATTTTATCGAAAATAACTTATATTCAAATACATTGAAATAACTGGATAAAAGTCATACTTTATTTATGAAGCTGTTATTAATAATTGAAGAATAAAATCTGAATCTAACTAATCTATTTAGGATACAATAACATATTTTTATCAACTAATTAATTAATTTATTCAAATTAAAATTAAAACGACAGCATCTAAACAAACATTCCCAATACTTTCTTTTTCACTTCTGGCATTCTCCCACTCCCTTTTACCCTTCTCCTCTTCTCAACATTCCTTCTGGTGCACCCACAAAGAAGTAGAAGACAGAGAAACCCCACCCCATATCAATTATGACCGCACCTTATTTCCTTTACAGTTTATCAACCCAAAAAGCATAGACCTTGTACCATGCAAAGTCTCCTGGAATCCTTTTAAATACAGCCTGTGAACCCCACGCATGAGCTTTTTCTTCTAGAAAAGTCTCTTCGGTCACTTTTCAATTTATGAATAAATAACGTGGAATTTAAAAATCGGTAGTATTAATCACATGATAATTGATATCATATCATATTAATTATATATCCACATTCCACAAGAAGAGAGAGAGAGAGAGAGGGAGGGAATAAGGGAGACTGCTAGAGAACTTCAGTAAATGAAAACTTGTTTAGCTATATATTGATTAAAAAAAAAGTAGATGCAAAAATCCTTACGGAGTTACAAGTACTTCAAAAATATTAGTACTTCATACACTGATCACCAATTGGGCTTAGAAAAAAATTACCACAACAGATGCTGAAATTAAGGAACAGTTATTACAATTCTGAAGCTCTAGATACATGGATGAAGCGGTTAATTCAAACCAATTGAAACAGTTGGCAACAGTGGACGCATGACCCTCCGTAGTTGCTGCTGAAGCCTGAAACGGGTTCGGATGATGGCAAGCACGTGAGTGATGAACCATAACGTGTACATAACAAAACCAAATGATTCCCATGTTTCGGGCAGCAACATTAGGAGCAAGGAAATCAAGGAGAGTGAACCAAAGACGTGCATGAGTGTGTCAAAGTGAGGAAGCCGTATGGCAAACATGAGCCTACCCAAGCAGGCGAAGCAATAAAGAAGAAAGCTAGCAATGGAAATGGACATGGTCTTGGGATGAAGTTGAAATGGGGTGGGATTTCCGGGGTACCTGATTTGGAGAAAACCGATGAGTACAAAGAAGATGAAAGCAAGAAGGGTATGCAGAGGATCAGTTTCTATCGCTATGTTATGCACTTGGATGTAGAAGTTCACTTGAGTAGCTCTGCAACAAAAAGAAGCGGGTCTTGGCCTTACGAGATCATCCATGGACTTGAAAATATAAGTAACTTGTGAAATGTTGAAAGAAGAGATGATTAAAGATAGAGAAGAGAGTGTCTATAAATAATGAATTGAATATGAGGTCGTGAATGGAAGCTACGTAGACATGCATGTAGTGAAGTCTACATGCATGTCTGTCAAATATCTGGCAAACACTGTCATGCACATTGACTTGGTCATAGTCAATTATGTGAGTCTTTTAGAGTGATGTTTATGGGAAAGAAGGGTTTGTTTCTTTTGAAGTCGTCGACATAGAGCAATTTAATGGGAGTAGCTTATGAAGTTGTATATCAAAAGAACTAGTTATTGAAGTGCATGAGCATGAGGATAAAAGGAAGTTGAGTTGGGTGCAAGCTGTAAGAAGGAAAAGTGAAAATGAAGAGTGAGGGCGGTGTTTCACTCAGGAAGAATGTCAGAGGCCGTGGACGTGGATCAACGACGTCGTTTGGAGTAAAACCCATGGAAACTTAACTTTTGCGCTGGACTATGGATGAACTACAGATGCTGTAGTGAATTTGCGATGCAGCTGGAACTGGAAGAGGCTCCTACTATTTTTTTTTTTCTTTCCATTTTTGTCTTTTCTGCAGAAGACAACTGGCAAAAATGTAATTGGTTAATTTGTTCTGCTTGCGGATTTGTGCGGTTGGGTGGGTGTTAGTGTCAGGGGTACGTACACAAAATTAAAAGTCAGCTAAACTTATAAAATTGTACCGAAATTAAAAGAAGTTCGTCACAATTGAATTCAATTGTACATTGAATTTAATTATTTTTTTATTTCATTAAATTAAATTATACTATAAAAATTTGAATTAAATTATAATTTGAACTACATTAAATAATTATCATACTTTAAATTGAAGTATTTTGATTTTTTTCTCGTTAAAATATGACAATTTATCAATTTTATTTTATTTTTTATTTTATAAATTATATATATATATATATATATATAAAGTAAAATAGATATGATAAATTTCATACCTAAAAATTTGTCTTGTTAAGACATGACAAATTTGTCAACTTTATTTTATTTTTAACTAACTCATCAAGTCCAATCAAATTGGCACAATTTTTTTGGATCATTTTTTAAAAAAAAATTTGGGTCTTTTTGGATCATTTTTTTTTTAATTTGGGTCGTTGGACTATCAGGCTAACTTATTAAGATAAAAAAATTTATACACATTTAATTTTTATTTTCATAAAAATAGTTTAGTTCAATTTAAATCAATTCTTAAAAAGTTCAATTCAATTTTTTTACAAACAATTTAATATTTTATGAAACAGTTTTTAGTTCGATTTATCACCAGTTCGATTCAATTTATCATTAATTTGGTTTAGTTCAATTTCTTTTACTCGACCCTAGAATGGATTATTCAATTGGAGTAAATTTATCAAAAATATTAATAGGCTTCAATAGTTTTTCATCCCTATAAAATTCACAATTTTTACTATTAGTTTTTTTTTTCATTATGATTCTTGTAAAAAATTTTCTTCTCATTTTTTAATCATGCTATTAGTATAAAGTATGCAGTTATTAATAATTAATTGTTATCATAGCTAAGTGACCATTTGTAGTGGAGTATTCCTTTCAATCATACATGTTTTTTTCATTCATTATATTCAAATTCGAAATATTATTTAAAAAGATTGAGTCTAGTACCATTTAGATTAATGAATTATTGGCATCCTTATCATAAGCCATAAGTAAATGTAACAGAGAAAAATTAAAAACTAAAAATTAAATAAATTAAAAAATTATAGAAAGTAAAATTTAAAATTATCGATAGTATCTCTCTACCGTATAATAATCCTTTTTCAGAACAGTAAAATTAACATACATCTCAAGTTGTACATCACAAGACTCACAAGCCAAATATAAGTGCTGGGATACAAACAAGTCCAATATCAATATATCTGTTTTGATCTGTTTGTTCTTTCAAACATGACAAATTTATCAATTTTATTTTATTCTTTATTTTATAAATTATATATATATATATATATTGAACAAAATAGATCTGATAAGTCTAAAAATTTGTCAAGACATGACAAATTTGTCAACTTTATTTTAATTTTAATTGGCTCGTCAAGTCCAACCAAATTGGCACAATTTTTTTGGATCATTTTTTTAAAAAAATATGGGTCATTGAACTATCGGGCTAATTCATTAAAATAGAAAATTTTATACACATAATTTTTATTTTCATAAAAATAGTTTAGTTCAATTCAAATCAATTTTTAAAAAGTTCAGTTCAATCCTTTTACAAACAATTTAATTTTTTATGGAACAGTTTAGTTTGATTTATTACTAGTTCGCTTCAATTTACCACCATTTTGGTTTAATTCAATTTTTTTTACTCAACCCTAAAATGGATTATTCAAGTGGAGTAAATTTATCAAAAATATTAATAGGCTTCAATATTTTTTCATCCCCATAAAATTTGCAATTTTTACTATTAGTTTTTTTTCATTATAGTTCTTGTAGAAAATTTTCTTCTCATTTTTATCCTTCTCTCATTTTTTAATCATATTATATGTATAAAGTATGAAGTTTTTAATAACTAATTTTTCATCATAGCTAAGTTATCATCTTTAATGGAGTATTTCTTTCAATCATACATGTTTTTTTATTCATTATATTCAAATTTGAAACATTATTTAAAAAGATTGAGTCTCTAGTAGCATTTAGATTTTAGATTAATGAATTATTGGCATCCTTGTCATAAGCCATAAGTAAATATAACGGAGAAAAGTTAAAAAAATTATAAATAAAATAAATCAAACAAATTATAAAAAGTAAAATTTAAAAATATCAATAGTATCTCTCTAATGTATAGTAGTCCCTTTTTCTAAACAGTAAGATTAACATATATCTCAAGTTCTACATTACAAGACTCATAAGTCAAATATTAATGTTGGGATACAAATAAGTCTTATATCAATAAAATAATTAAGAGAAGAAATAATAATTTATAAAACACAAGCATATTTCAATGATAAAGAAACCTTTTGGATGATGATCAAAAGTAAAATCGTGAGGGCTTAAGCTCAAAGTAGACAATATTCCATCATGGTAAAATTATGTGTGAAATAACCTTATAAAAATAATACTTATTAAAAAATCTTTTAAGTAATAACCAAAAATAATTTTTTTTATAATAATCTTATAAAAATAACTCTCATAAAATATATCTTAAGTAACGTAATGTATCAATAATTCAAATCCATTCTCGACAATTATTGTTCTTTATTTTTATTTTTTTCCCTGCCACACCATATTATTAATCATACCTTTTATTTTTCTCAATTAGGCGTCTAATAAGTCATTTTTGCTAAGAAAAATATAGCAATGCTGAATGAGAAAAAAAAGAGTATAATTTTCAAATCAATCAACCAGATTCACGACGAAGCTGTTAACTATTCAAATCTATTGAAGTAGTTGGCAACAAAGGATCCACCAACCTACCATTATTAAAAAAAGTGATATTTTTTTATAAAAAAATATTCATAGAAATTTTTTTATGAATTTTTCAATAATAATTTTATAAAAAAAATTACGAATTTATTTGCAAAAAATAATTTACAGATATTTTTTTACAAAACTTTTATAAAAAATAATCTACAAAAAAAACTTACTTCAATTTTAATGATCATAGAAATTTTTTCAATGATTAAAAATTATAGAAAATATTGTAAGAATTTTATTTTGTTTCTTAAGATTTTCTTGTAAAAATAAATTCGCAAGTAATGTTTATCAAATGGTAGAAAAACTTAATTATTCTTGTGGATTTTCCTACTAATTTTAATCCGCAAGAAAAATAAAAAAAAAATATTTAAATTTATAAGTTTAATAATTAAAAGATTTTAAAATTAAAAATATTATTTTAATAAATTATTTATAAATATATCATTATAATTAATTTTAATTTTAATTAAATTAAATATATAAAATTTTATAAATATGATAAATAAATGATAATGAGTTTTAATTTAATGATAATTTATCAAAATTAAAAAATTAAATATTTATTTTAATTAAATGTATAAATTAATGATGATGAGTTTTAATTTAATGATAGTTTTTAAAATAAAATTATTTAATAAAAAAACTAATTTTTTAAAAAATATTGAATATTTAAGAGTTAAAATAATTTATAATAGTATAATTTTTTTGTTCAATATAATGAATTATTTTTTTTTCTAAAGACATGATCTAATTAATATTTTTTTAAAAAAAAATTCAAGTCTCACATCAATTGAAAATAAAACAATTAATGAACATATAAGTTAGTACAACATTTACTTTACAAGTTAATTTATATGATTGAGTATTAGACTTATAATCTATAATTTAAGAGTTTAATTAAAAAGTTATATTCTATATGTCGGAGGAATGTATTACTTAAAGGTAAAATTTCATAAAAAATTTGCAAGAATAATATTTGCCGTGAATTTTTATACAAAATTCAGATGAAAAATTCATATAATAAAAGAAATTATGTACTCATTTGTTGGCATTGCACTCGCCTTCTGATTATGAGTGATGAACCACAAGTAGATAATGAAACCTAATGATTCCCATGCGTCGGGTAGAAACATCAAGTACGAGAGACCAAACACGTACATGAGTGTGTCAAAGTGAGGATGCACATGAAGAACCCATTTAACAAACTTAGGCTACCCTAGAAGTAAAAACTTTTATAATAGTAGATTTAAACTTAATTCAATCTTAAAAAATTAATTTATAAAATAAGAGTTTCTTTCTATTTATATATTATTTAATTATCTAATCTCTAGTTAATGCGAGATTTAGATTTAGATTTTTTCCAGTACGAATAATAAGCAAGAAAGCTAGCAATGGAAACTGAGATGATATTTGGATGAACCTGAAATGGGGTTGAGTTTTCTGGATATCTTATTTGAAGAAAAGCGAGAAGTACACAGAACACATGAAAGAAACAAAAGCATGCAGAGGATTGGTTTCTATTATTGACATGTTACATATATACTTGG